CCCGGCCTGGCCCGCGCCCAGCGGCCGCGGCAGGGTGCAGTCATTTTTAGGAATACATCGCTGATTCCATCTACAGTCCAGCGTCAGCAGCTCTAACACCCCATTGTGGTGGGGCGGTACAGCAGCTAAGGCGGTGAGGTCAGCTCAGCGTATTTTACTGAAAGTAAGGAAGAACAAGGTTGATTTATGGTTTGGGCGGAGGTTAAAAAAAAAAAAATCTGCAAAGCAAAGGCATGTAAATGTCAAGTAAATAAAAAGCTTGTGTGGTACTGTGTAACTCAAGAGATAGCCTATGAAAATCCACCAAAACCAAGTCTTCATTAAAAAACAAAAAAAAACCTTAATTTATTTTCAATGAGGAACTGAAAACAAGGAACTTAAAACAGTTAAAAGTTACCTCTGCTGTCTCTTCCCAAAGTCTTTACCACTTCGGTCATGCTAATCAGGTACATCAGGCTGAAGTTGCACCTTACATTCTTGGTACAGATGCTGAAAGATTACTTTAAACAATAACAGGAGTAAACGTAGGACTAGAGAAACTTAAGCAGTTGTTTTTAAGCACTCGAGATAGGAGAGCAGCAAAGGTTTAAGGGTGCTGCCTTCTGCAGTCGCCCCAGCTAGCACAGCACTTGTTTGCGCTCTCCTGTAACGCAGTCAGTCCCGCTTACCTTTCTGATAAGTGACTGAGGCAGCAGAACCTCTCAAGCACTGAAGGAATCCTACACTGCAAACACTATATAAATTGATTGCAGTGTAGGCCTTTCCCCCCCCCCACAACAAGGTCTGGAATAAATATTTACATAGAATGTGCTAAATTTTAAATACATGTTGAATTTACAGATGTTGAACAAGGCTTATCCTTTCTTGACAGGAGAAGTCCTACTTAAAAGTCAACATTAAACTCTTAAAATGTCAGTCAGAAGGTGACAGGACTTCCAGCTGAATCTAAAGGATGGTCACTGAACAAAAGGACAGTGCAGTATGTATTTTGCACAGATTATACAGCACATATAGGAAGCTTTTAGCAGTTTGGTACATTATACTGGTATCTACCAATACACCTACTGATGCAGCAAGTGGGTTTTGAGTAAGAGCACCGAAGCGCTGCCTCTTCACTGGGATCTTGACAACCAGTTCTCTCTCTCTCTTTCCTAGTGAGGATTTCTACAGTCCAGCAGTGCTGGCGTTGGTAACTGACACCTTGTTTTCCTCTGTGGCCTCAGCTGCTTCACTTTTCATACAAACTGGACATAAGCTTCAGAGCTTCAGGTGGGAGGAACCATTGGCATGAGCCTTACTTCAGATGCAAGCGATGGCAAGTTGCAGTGTTTGCAGTAACACTGCATCTGACAGCTTTAGGCAGTGTGCCACTGTACTAAAAGCAGCCTGAAGCAAAGGAATAACCTTTTTCCTGTTACAAATAAATGTTTGCTACAATATCAGCAACACCTGTTCCCCCCATCTGGTTACCTTTTCACTTCATATATGCAAAGTCAGTAGGAGTACTCCAACTACTGGCTGTGCCTGGATCAGAAGCCACAAGCCTTCGCATTATAGTGCTCAGAAGTTGATGGGCTAGTATTGCCCTCCATCATGTCTCATTTCAACAATAAGCAATAATTATATTTCACCTTTAACAACTTGAGACTCACTCCCTGGGAGGAGTAAAATCAACACCAGCTGTGTTTCAGTAAAATCAACACCCAGAAATGTTTCTGGCAGATTCTTATGACCTTCAGCTGCTATCACTTAACTAGAACATTCAGATCCTGTTGAAGCATCAGAGCAAGCCTCTTGCTATGAGAGTTATCTGTCCTTACAAAAAAAAAAAAAAACCCACAAATAGACCTATAGCACTGGAAGAGTTTTTTAAATTTCCAGTAAATACTGATTTCCAATCCCTTGTTCACTGATCCTTTTAACAGGTAAGTTTTCTGTTAAGAACAGACATCAAGCCACAAACATCAAGTTTTCCCTCTAGTTAACACTGCGAAGTCCTCAAAATGAAAACATCTAAAACTATTTCAGTAATTCACACAGCTATCCAGACTTCTATGAAAGGCACACACAAATCTTTTTTTTTTCCCCCCCTTCTCTAGGTGTTTCACCTGCATGACTTGTAGGGGTAACAGTCAACATTTGCTTTTCTACTTTGTACCACCTTTGAAGATCCAACTGATGTGTGGCACCAGAAGACAGACAAGCGCGTGGAGAATCTAGTGTTATGTTCTGTAAAAAACCCAGACTTTCCACAATAGCTGTAGCTAGCCAGTAAAAGAAGGATTCTGTTGGAACAACAACGTACTGGTTTCCCTCAGAGAAACTACTAATTCTAGACATCAAAAAGAGTAACCGACTACTATGATGCTAGTCACGCAGTCAATTTTTTCTAAAATCTTGGCAGGAAGAGTCCCAAGTAGCACTTTAGAGCAAAGGAGGCAGTTAAGTGTTTATTGATGACAATGGAGGAAAAAAAGTGATAAAGCAAACAGATACTTCTTTCAATATAAAGTTTCTAGTCATCTGATGTTCTGTCAAGCTCCAATTTTTTGATTCAGGTGTAGTTATAAAAATCCAAGGAGGATTTAGGGAAACATGATACTTCAACATAAATGTCATCTATGACAAAGTCTGAACAGCAAACATCATATAAAGAAAAAATTCAAAATATATTTACAAATTCATACTTTGTAGTCATTGAGAAATTTCTTCGTTACAGAGCGGCAGATTATTCATGTACATCACATTCCAAAAGGCATTATCCAATCAGAGTCATTTAGCATAAAATAAAGCTGAAAGACAGATTGTCTAAAAATAAGGCCAGTTTCATTCCAAATTTATGCATTTGATGACCAGAATTTTCTAGTACTTTTAGGTTAATAAAAAAAAATATGCATAAGAGCACCTAATCCAACCCAACCAGGCAACACAGATCAAACTGCAAGTTTCATTCCTAGCAGAAGTTATCAACAGTAGAAACCCAGGAGAAAGGACAATAGTATACACCTTTTTGCAGTCCTGTCTATTGCTAATTTGTAAATGCTTGTATAAAAACAAATCCCCACACCATATTTGCAATATGATCATAAATAGGTAATAGTTTAAAAATGTAAGATATGATTACCTCAGGCTATCGAGCTGTTTAGCACTTTGGAAAAAAGTGAACAAAACCCAAACACCTTTCTCTTCCTCCCTGCCTCCCCCTCTTCCAAACCATGGAGAAAAAAAAAAAAAAAGTTATACTCTGATGAATATTAGAACAGGCACCAACATTCATGCTAGTTGCCCCAATGTGCAACGGGAAGTTCATTTACAATAGTCAGAAATATTCTTATGCACTAGTCCCAAAGAGTTCAGCTTCTGCAACCAAGTTTGTTTAATTTTGAAAAAAAAAAAAAAAAAAACACCCATCAGGTATGACGTGGGCAGCGACCAGAAGGTGCAGGAATGTCCAACACTCTACGTCTGTCTTCATATTCATCAGTGTCTGTGGAATCTTCGTCTTCATCCATTGCATACTCATTATGATTTGTTTCCTAATACAAGACACATCCATATTTAATTAAAATCTTGTAGCCCAGCCACTTATAAGAAAGCATCAACAATTGCCCCTAAAAATTTTGAGTCCATATTATCACAGTTATTTGAAGTAGGCATACTGTAATTATCAGTGTCTTCAAACAAAAGCAGTTCTGTACTCTTATTAACCTTACTTTGCAACAGAGAATTCTGCCAAACCATTTGACCTTTAACACAAAAGATATCTATTTGCCTTAATTATTTCATACATACTACTATGTAAAGCCACAATTTAGTACCTTAGTCATTCTGGTTTTCCTGTTGGCTTGTGCAGACTAAAAAATTTCTGCACAAGTTAAAAAGTCTGCACAAAAGCTAAAACAGAGTTTAAACATAGAGTTACTACTAGCTTTAAAATCAGAGGTAGAGCAACAAGAGAGAAAAACCATTGATTTTTATAGTCAACTGAATGGGAGAGGTGATAATTCACATAAACATAAGCAAGGGCTAAACATGGCATTTTCTGTTACAAGCACGACCTCTGCTGGCACTTAACGTTATAGCGAGTAGTAATGAGAGTTTCTCAAATCCCTTGGAAAACATGTAAAATCAGCATAGATGCCTATACTTGAGGAAAGGCTCAGTACTAGCAAAAAAAAAAAAAAAAGAAGCCAAAACAAACTTTCTCAAATTCTATCAGAATTAGTCATTAAATAAAAGCTATGCTAATAATAAAGCCAATAAGCATTCTTCTTCAAATGTGCAAAATCTAAAATACTTAGGTTTAGCAACGATATACA